TCTGAAATATCACTTGTGACATTTCAATAAAGTCTGACCTAAAAATAAAATTGAGGAAACTGTGATATATCGCAATCAGTACTGTACTGGACACACCCCAACAGCCATGCGGTGTAGCGCGGCTGCTAGTGTGAATCTGAGCCCTAAAAGGGAATCTGAGCCCAGACTGTTCAAATTAAAGATATGCTAGTCCGGGTACTAGCCAGATAAGCAGCATCAAGGGGCGGCAGTGCCTTTTAGGAAAGCTTTAGATATGCAGCCGGGGATTGTGTACGTTTGTAAGTTATTATTTGTGTATGCTATACCATTTGCTAATATACTGTATATAGGACATATGCAGACTGTCATTGCTGAACTTGTCAAACTGTCGGCAGGACAGCCAGCCAGCCATTTTTTCTTTTAGGAGAGAACAATGGACACCTGAGTACTTCTCTAGAGTTCTATGCAGCTACAGATATATGCAAGTCTTGACTGTTCAAGCGTTGTCCTAATTATCTGGAGAGCCCTGTATGCCTTTAATGTGATGTAGGACTAATAGGTAAGTTTAGGAGGGGGTTGGGCTTTCATTGCTTATGCATTTTCATATACTCTGTTGAAGTTGCCAATTTGTGACAAATTCACTTTAATGGGATCGAAAAGCTCCTTTGCATGTCACTGCTTTTTGCTGAGTCTGGATTAATGTTAGTGTGATAGTAACTGCACTATGGGAGCTGCCATGTTGAGTAAAACTCTGTAGCATCTAGACACAGAGCATTCTTGAGCTGTCTAGTCTCTGTGGGGCTCATAGGCAGCTGCCTGAAATAGTGTTAGCATTCAGACAGCTAAATACTGTGTTAAAATATATGTGAACCATATAGTACTTCACCAAAATCTGTCTAATTCTGTGAGCCAGTTGTAGCCAGTATATTAGCTATTCGGTTTCCTGAGGCTCATGTCGGCTTAACGGTAAGTGAATTTGCATTGTCACCCTGGTGGTTGTCCAATAACACGGCAGAGCTTAAAGTGGAGTCATCCACTGCAAAGAGTTATCCACCTCTTTGCAGTGTGGAAGAATAGCGGATATTCACTAATTATATGGCAATTGCAGCAAAAGTGTAAAAAGTTCTTTATGTAATGCATTGGCCTTGTGTACCACCTTGTTTTAGGGCCTGTTCACATGATTTTCAGGTGCAGATCTGCAGACGCGGTGCTACTCATGAAGTGTGTTTTCGGTCTGGATGCTGAGTTCATTTTTTTTTTTTTCTTCAGCCGTGGGGCTGTCGGTATGCAGACATGTATCACATGTTTGCAGGCATGGTGCTGGCTACAGCAATCTGCAGAGAATGAGCTCGCAGGAGACGTCGTTATTGGGTACACCCAATCCTGAGGTTCCGGGACTTCATGGGTCAGTTCTGGAGTTTATATGAGGATTTGCGAGCTCACTTGGATACATTTTTTTCCTTTACTCTTCTGTCCATGGAAAGGTAATGTGCATGTTTAAAATGTTTGCAGTTCATGTCTTTACCTCTACCCCAACCTGTCTGTCTATCTCCCACTCTGACTGCCTCTGACATCATAAAAAGTGGAGCAAGAATACATTTATTTTTGCTTAGCTGCATTGCATTGTTTTCTTTGCGTTTTTTTGCTGTGGTTTGTGCGTTTCCTGACCAGACAATGTGAAATGCAGTATTTTTTCTGTTGTAACCTCACGTGCGCAGTCTGTCCAGAACTGTAGCCCATAAAACACATAGGGATGCATTTTTAGTGCAGGAGCACTAAAAAAAAAAAAGAAACTACGGTTTTCCTCTTCTACATAATTCATGCTTCATCCTAATTCTGTAAGTAATGGTGAGTACCTGGTCTGTACTATATCCAGATGGCTGTAGCACACACAGGTTCTGCTTTGTTCATGTCTAGCGTTTTATTGAGCACAGCAGGGTATTGGCCACAGGGAGCTGTAATTATATTAATAATGAGGTAAATCACTGTTGCAGGATACAAAGATTCTCGCCAGTTCATGTTCTACAATCCCAGAAATCATCCATCTTGCTGACCTCCAGATTGTAGTGTGCCATATGGAGGTTCCCCAGATCCCCCCACTTCAACTTTTTTTTTCTCCTTTGGAAGAGAGGTCATTTTCTGAGACTTTAGGCAACTGTGATGTCAAATGCACTGATTCCTGATCCTCTTGCTGACATACCTTTCAGGTCCCTCTAGTGAAGAGGAACTAGTTCCTACTGGTACTGGAGCCATGATTTGGAGCTGCTGGCAGGTTGGATTGACTTTACTGCACAGTGCTGTGTACTGTATGTGGAGAGAACTTCTTATTCCTCCACCAAGCTAGGTATCTTAAATCAGTTCATTTCCATCAAGAGGAAGTGCTACAGAATTGTGATACGAGTATGGGATCTTACATTCCTTATGTAAGATCTCAAAATTCGTTTGGCTAGTAAGGAATTTGGGAGAGCGCCTGTGCTTCTGAGGAAGATGCCTAGGAAAAATGAAGGGTGTCAAGGACTGCACGCAAAAAAAACAAACCCTCAGCAGTTCAGCTGTGGTAAAACTAAAGCTCCTGGTACGCCCCATAGCTGGAGTGCCAAGGTTGCCTACACCTGGTGGTAGACCATTAGCGGGAGCCTATATGACTGAGGCAATTTGCTTCCATAATAGGAACAGAAATTAGGTGAAGCCTGTATTCTACAGGAGTCATTGCATGAGCTGAAAACTTGTGATGGCAAGGAGTGAAAGGCCCCTGACTGGAAAAGAACATCAACAAAGACATGAACAGTGTCCTCTTACATCTCAGGGACAAACTAACCATATCCAGTTACATGTCACATCCTGCTACATAAGTGATACTCTGGGGTGCAGGACAGCTGGAGCTAGCAGCTATTGGTAATCTCAGAATGACAGATCTGGAAAGAGGCATCCTTTAAGCAGTAGGTTGGTAGGGAGCCCAAGAGAGGCACTCGCCCAAACAATAATTGGTATAAGCACATAGGATACACTTTAAATGAATTTTAATTAAAGGGATTGCTTTATTCATGATAAAGGCAAATCCATAAACCAGTAACCAAGTCAAAGTAAAAAAAAAAACAAAACCCTCACTGTATATCTAAAGGTACAGTTGACCCACTTACACATACAAGTAAAGCCCTCCCTCTCCCCCCCCATCATGTGACCTGTTATTGAGAATGCTGTTTTGCAAGCATATAGCAGTGGGTATGAGTTTAAACTGGTTAAATGTAACATTAGATTTTTATACTTTTTGTGAAGCACAGGGATAGAACGAACGAACAAACGCACGCTCAGTACTTTGTTGGGCCGCCTCATGACTCCACGAAATGTTGAAAGGTGATGCCAGGAATCTGACACTGCACTGTTGTCTTGTACCAGTCTTGCCACTCTCCGTTCTGCTCTAACATTGACTAGTCGCTGACGGCCACAATTCTCACGTTCAGACCCAGATTTTCACTTTAACAACAGCCCCTCTTGAACATTTAACAAATTCTGCTGTTTTGCTCATACTCGCTCCATGGCTCCGAGCGCCAACAATCATCCCACGTTCAAAGGCTGTTAAATCTCGTTGTTTACCCAAATCTTCCGAAAAAAAATCACCTACTGTCGTGGTAACCAACCTGCTTCCCTATTTATAATGGTCTGGCCCTCTAGCAACTTCAGCGCAAAATTATAGCTAACTTGCCTACAAACGTCAGGTGGTCATAATAATCTGGCCGCTCAGTGTATACATACTGTGTACATATTATAGACTGTATTTGGAGGTTTACATAAATAGAATTTTGACTTGCCTGTAAATTCCTTATCTTGGAGTACAGGACACAAATGGAAGAAACTGGTGCCCTGTACTCTACTCCAAGGAATTTACAGACAATATTCCTAAAGTCCTAATCATGTTACAGGACATAGGGCTTTCAGTAATAGATCATGGGACATCCAAAAGTAGTCGATTGAGGGGAGGGCAAACACCAACATGCAGCCAAAGCTGGCATCAGAGCCCCAAACACCCAACTGTTAAAAACGTAAATGTGTGGACTGAAGACTGATTGCCTAAAAAGGAAGCTGTAGCCGTGAGGTAGACTTGCACATTACGTACCACATCCAAAGAGTGGGGAGAAGTCTCCTTGGGATGTTTAGAAGCAAGACAGAGGGAGGGAAGGACAATGCTTTCTTTAAGGTGGAAAGAAGAGATCACCTTGGGAAGATGGCCCAGGCATCAGAACACCCTTATCCCTGTCCAACACTAGGAAGGGTTGCCAGCACGGTGGTAAG